GAATAGTTGTTATGTTATTATTCATAATACCAATGAACTAAGACAAGTGTTAGTAATCATGATGTCCCAAATATGAAATATATCTTTAGCAGTACCTATCTTTTGGATCTGTCTCTACCAAGCCTATTCTCTTTATAACTTCCATTCCTGTTTTGATTCTACCAAAAATTGTATGTTTTCCTGTAGGCAAAAAAACAAAACAAAAACAAAATAAAGTTCTATAAAAATCTTATAATGTACACCCACTTGCAAAAACGTTGTCATAGGAAATAGGACATTTGTATTTAGTAAAAAGGAATAAATTAAAAAGACAAAGGAAGATCTCTCTTTTGTTTTCAAATGTTCTATTTTCTAGTAGGTGTATCTACTAAACTGATGCTTTGAATATTAATTACAATGAATGCTTGCATACCATCTAACCACTGCGTTGGTGCTAAAGTGACAAAGAACTGACTTCCATTTGTATTAGGGCCACTGAAAAAGCAATAATTAGAKAATGAATGTACTATCACTATAGATGCTTGCGACGTAAGCTGGAAGTGAATTGAAAACAATAGAAAACAAAAGAATGGAAACAAGGCCTAAGGGCCCTTGATTTGTTTAGATGGCAAACATCAAGGGATTCCCTTCACCTTAATTCAAGAAAAATTGCTTGTCGGTAGGAAAAGGTCATTTTAATTCTTGCTTCTTGTTAAATTCAATAAGAATATTTTTTAATCCCTAAGTTACTTCCAGTTTATGTCGTAAGCATGTATTAGCTTCAAGATAAATGCAATCTTCAATCAAGGAACCATTCTTTGAAACAGTAGGCAATCTTCTTTTAATCCATTAGTGTGTACCTATTAGCCATTGATAGTATCCCTGCACCAGTGTGCTTTAAATCCCGTGTGATTTCATCTTCAAAGATTGGGCTGGTGTTGACAAAATAAAAGAGAAATAAAGGATAATGCACTACAACTACAACTATTGCATGCAACTTGTAAATCATCTTTAAGTACAATGCCATGAGGAATGGCTACCAACTGCCATGGGGATTTTAAACAATTGCTTAATATTGTAAGGATGACTTGCACAGGTTGCATGGGGTGGTTCATGGGTGGTTGTAGAAAAAAGTCGTGATGTCTAATTCAGCCTTATGACAAACTTGCTATTGATGACAGGTGTCTATCATGTTTTGCTCTTCCAGTCATTCTTATCATGACTCTTTGTTGTTGCTTAATTTAGAAACTTTAAAGGTTAGATGTAACAATCACTGTCATAAGCTATTTAACCAGATAATTTCTGCATCTGAGCACAAGCTTCGTACAATGTAGTTTTCTACCAGAACTAAGAACAAATGCCAGTACAATCTGAAAAGCCAGTGTGGTTTCAGTGTACTAAATGCATTAGTTCAACCTTTTTTTCCTATCATGAGCAGAATTACATTCTTAACTGTCTCATCGCACCTCGTAATTAGAGAAGTGTGACTTCAAGTAAACAATGAAATCTTACCCGTAAACAGATGCTCCACCTCTTCCTGTACCAGTGGGATCTCCTGTCTGTACCATAAAATTCTAAAAGGAAAAATAAAGCTATCATTTCACATTTTTTCCTAAGGTAGCAATGTACCCTCTGTGTTACCATGACTGCAATGATTATGAAGTAATCCATATAGTGTTGCTAGGTGATATTAAGAAATCTGCAGGGGCAGATCCAGCTGGTGGGTGCAGGGGGGTGCACAGCCCCTCGTAAGATCTGATATCCTTCAATACTTTCCTTATTTTGTACCTTCGTGGTAATGATTTTTGTGGGGGGTGCACCCCCTCCTGAGAGCCCTGCACCCCTCACTGAGGAAAATCCTGGATCCACCCCTGTCCTGCATATATATAATAAAAATACCATATTTTGGGTATTTTACTAGCCATTGGCTTGTTTTGCACCAACACAGTAGCCCAGACCATAGCTAACCTCCCTCTACATGTATTGACTATGCCCAGACAAACTTCACAACATTCAAGTAAGGATTGATCGTTTTCAACCATTCCCATTTGATTCAAAAGATTAAAGAACGGTGGCCATGTTAGAGGAATGAACAATAGAAACTGAAATCCTTTGTTGTAGCTCCTCCAGGATGGACACTGTAATGCACTAGTCAATTGAAACCCCCTACCCCTAGGGAATACCGGGGAATTTAACGTTTGAGTTGTGTTAAAATAAGACATTTTCCCCAGTAGTCAGGGCACATTCATTGTTAAAATCCCCGCTACTGTTGCCCCGTTATTGTGGTCTAGTTGTAAATAACAAAACAAACATGCACCTGTCAATCAAATTTTCTGTGATACACATGGTGAATTTTTGTATAATCCTGTGTACTCATTTTCATACTACATGAGGCTAACTGGACAGAGAAAAACATGTGTACTAAGTTTCTTTAAAAAAATCATGCAAAGAAAAATAAACAAATAAAAAAGCGGGATTGAATACCAATGCCTTCAGGGTATTTCTCAAGATGGCCAAGCTCTAGTTTCCAGCCTTATACATGTTCAAACGCGCGTTAAAATCCCCGCTCTTTGCCCCGTTTCATCAAAATCCCGAACCCCCGGGGCAATCTTGCTGTTAAAAGCACGTTAAAACGTGTCACGTCCCATTTTAGTGTCCCGCTAACCCTGGGGCAGGGGTTTCAATAGCCGACTTGCGAATTACGCATCAATAGTCACATACAAAGGAATCAAGACGAGGCGGCGTGCTTTTTGGGGAAAAATCTATTGTCTTTAGCACGGCGCCTCGTCTTGATTCCTTTGTATGTGACTACTGATGCGTAATTCGCAAGTCGGCTATTGACTAGTGCATAATGCAAGCTTACAAGTGAAAATGAAGAATAGACTGCAGTCAATCAACATTTTTTAAATAAACTGGCATTTGGTGCCAAGACTCTTAAGTTGAAAAGACAGCAGCCTATTGCTGATTATTGCAGTTATGTAGTTTTATTTGGACTGTTGGTCTTGCTGGCCTTGGGTAAAAACTATAAGCTTACAACGAAAACAAGAAACTTATTAG